TTTTTTGTCCTGAAGAGAAAAAAGCCCACCTCATTTCTGCGAATAAAAAAGGCAGTGTTTTCTCCCTCTATCTCAATCTTTCGCTAAGTACACAGTTAAATAAATTTCTCTATTTCTCTCTCTCCTCCTCCCCCCTTCCTCGTTTCCACTCTGCATGCCGATGCCAGAGTTACCTGTGCAAGGGCAAAAGTGCTCTGCTTCTCTGCCTCTAAAGTAATTTCTATGCTAATAAGACTCTCAATAAGATAAGACACTCGGTGAAGAGTTGCCTCTCTAACGCAGACTGTGTGACAGGGAGGGCTGCCGGAATTCAAAATGGCTTTTTGCTACCCTTATATCTGTTAATTCACACTGAGGTGTGTGTTTATGCTTGGTTAAAGCAGACATCCCACACAATTACATTGCTGTACACCTTTTGAAATGGGTTTAATGACAATATTTCACAGAGTTGTTTAAACAACTACAATTCTGAAGAAGAAATGGAACAAGTGGCCAACAGAAATCCTGAAAATACACATTGTTATTTATATCTAGGTGAGATTCTAGGGATTCTAATTCTAGGAATTCTGATAATATGACAATTACTGCGCACTAGGTCTATTACACTACTTATCAGGAAAAAACATGTCACTTCACTCAATACGCAGGTTTGTATATCCAGTAACTGATTCTATAGGCATTAAAATATATAGAGTATTGCACTTCCTGTCTAGTAGGCTGTCGTGATCTATGGTAGAGCCAACAGTTATCACAGGTGACACCTTCTGCATCAACGGCATCTCAGATCTTTTTCACTTGTAATTCCAGTGGCTCTGCCGTCTGCATCCATACCTCTATTTTGGCCTAATCAGATGCACACCCATTTCCTCTGGTCAGTGTCCGTGAGGTTGAAGCTGACTGCATTGACTTTGGCGGGGGCAGGAATGATCTTAGCCATCAGTCCATCCATCAAAGCCGGCGTTAGCGGCGAGCCTCATTAGAGCATCAGGCGTCGAGTGTGCGCCCGGCCCGTGCTGCCTGACCTTCGCGCGATCACCCCCCCAGGATGGCTCCCCTCTCCCACATTTGCATCACAATCTACCTGCCTCATTAAACTTTATCCACATCCATTCAGACTATTTTAGGAGAATCAATCAAATTTGCGGAGCCCTTCCAAATAGTGGGGGAGAGGAGCCACAGATATTTTTCTGGGGTGAGATTTAGGTGCTGGTGCCTGTTTTCAGCATCCAGCGATGTTCATTGGTTTTATTTTACAGACCTTTATTGGCAACAAATTGGGTCCAGGGTACAGCTTTATGTAGCTGATGGACAGTCCCTCAGAGACTCATACAGCTCTGTATAGCTCTGCCAGAAGTCCAGTACATCGCCAATCCCATACTGTAGGGATCTAAAGTCATTAAGTCCCGTTTAATTTACACATGTTAGATTTAATGTCATTGGGATAATGAAACATCTTATTTTCATGGGGGTTGGGATTCTTCGGCTGTCAGAGCAGTTATGTTGATGTTACCACATGAGATGGACCATATCTGGTCAGACCTGTCCCCTTTCCAAGGTTAAAAACAAGGCAGGGTTTCTAGTCTCATCATATGTGGTTAGTGCCTGACATTCTGCTGGCTACCTGTTGGGTCACCGCTGAGCTCACACCAGTGGGCGTCTGAGGGTGATTGCTAAACATCCCAAATCATTCATAGCCTGGCTAGACTGCAGACCACACCGAAAGTGACACAATGGGGATTGGCATCCTTCCAGAAGTTATCCGAAGATTAATTCACTCCTATAACAGCATCGGTAACATTACTGTATCACTACATATGCTTACATTTGCTAACATGACCTCACGCCCCTCAAACATCAATTTGTCAGTCCTGCTAAACAGAAGAGCTTTGATGAGTTTAGCTGCTCTGATTTATCACTTTGATTCATTAGTTTAAAAAAAAAAAAATCTTCAATTGTAAAATATTTCAAATCATAGGGGTGTCAAACTCCAGTCCTGGGGGGCCGGAGCCCTGTGTAGCTTAGGTCGTTGTGTGGTAATTAGCATGAGGAGTTGAATCAGGTGTGTTAAATGAGGGGAAACCCAAAAATGTGCAGGGCTCCGGCCCCCCAGGACTGGAGTTTGACACCCATGGTCTAGCGTCTAAACCAGTGGTGGGCAATCTTATCCAGAAAAGGCCGTTGTGTATGCAGGTTTTCGCTGCAACTCCCTAGAGTATGGAATAGTCTTCCTGCTAGTGTAGCGGAAGCTAAAACCATTGGGTTCCTTTAAATCAGAGCTAGATAAGATTTTAACAACTCTCAGCTATTAGTTAAGTTCTCCCCAAAGGAGCTTGATGGGCCGAATGGCCCCCCCTCATTTGTAAATTTCTTATGTTATTAATTAGGTTGCCAATTATAGGGCTGATTGGCTGAAGAGTCCTCACACCTGGGTTTGAACAGCTGACCTACAGGTTATCCCAGAAACCTGTACATACACCAGCCCTTTGCAATTAAGATTGGCCGCCCCTGGTATAAACTCACTGAGAGACTTTTTTTTACTCTTACTTAAATGAATGATTGGTGAAAATGACTTGTTTTGTTGACAGAAGGTATATTTTGGCCCAGTGTCTACCATTGGCCATCCTATTGTTTTTTAACCTAAATGTTACTGTAACATATATGCAGTCGTGGGAAAAGCAACCATGCACAGAAATAAACAAATCAGCCAATTGTCGGAAATGGTGGGATTCCTGTAATGCGTCTGGAAGATGGCAGAAGGGCTGAGAGGCTAAGCGAGGTCAGCTGTCACTCTAAACAGGCCAAACGCCAAAAACAAAAATGTCAGCTGGCCTTCCTCTGCTGATTAGCTTTCCTACCCACCCTGGCAATGCAAGCGCTGGGAATTTGGGGGCCAGCGACCTGCACATTCATTGTTTTCTCTGTCTCTGAACAAATTCCCTCTTGACAAATGTTTTGTTGCAGTAGAAAAATATTATACTGCGCAACAGTAACAAAATTGATATTATTGATAAAATGCTGATTTGTCATGAAGTGCAAGATGTGCAAAGTAGATAAGCATACAGATATAATTAAGCCAACATTACAGTTAATTAGTATGTTTGTCCATCTAGCCACCTGTCTTCACTTACTTTCTATAACAGCTAATCCAATGCGTGTTTTGGAATCTATCCCAAGAATCACAGGGTGCAATGCAGGGTACCCCCGGGACTGGAAGCCAGCCCATCATAGGTTAATTAAAGCATGTTTTATGAGAAAATAACTCTCTTTAAGAAACTGAATTGTGGATAGAATGCAGGATATAAGGGAGATGTATTTGGGAGAATTAAGTGAGATGTGTTTAGGTATTAAAGCATTAGCTTTTGTAAAACCATGTCAAATTGCCAATTAAACTCCCCTCAGAAATCAAATAATTATCCTTGTCTCCAAGCTAAAAGTACTCCACTGCCTCCTATTGCCTCTGAAACCAGGATTTAATGTCACTTTGTGCCAAACTGTGCTTTAACATGAGGAAACGTGTAATACCTCTGAAAATCAATGAACAAAAAAACTGGTTTATTTCACTAATATGATGTTGACCTGTTTTGCCAAACGATCTGCTTATTCTTTTTATTTAATTTTCTGGCTGGGAAATTAGGTTTCCTGTTTGCCTTTTGTAGGGCAAAACACCGGGGGCGGTCGGCGGATGGCGTGCTCGGGATTTCCCCATCTTTCTTTCCCGTTGGGCGAAAATGTGAAATGGGATGATGCACCATCTGCTGCTGGAGCCTAAACATCCCCTTGGCCGGTGATCCTGTTATTTTTCCTGCAGGTACATCAAATGAATCTGTCTTTTTATCATGGTGACAATTCCCCACTAAGTCTGTCTAAGATCAGCTGTCCCATTCAGAGGTGTCTAACATCTTCATCTCCAGGGCTGACATTAGCACAACAGCCTGGGAAGGCATGTCATTCTCCACAGCGTGTTATATATATTTTTTTTTTTTTAGCAATTTGGCTGCAAGGGATATAAAGGAGGCTGGGAGTTCTGACAGTGGACATGTTTAATCTATTAATCTCCAAGCTAACAACTGACACAGTCTGACAAGGATTGCAGAATGACATTCGCAACCTGGTACACATGTCCTATTCTGAACAGGCTCTTCAGAATGATAACACAATAAAAACGGGGATGGTTACGTGGAGATGTAAACAACGTATGGATCACGGATGGTTATAATTCGCAGCTCATACTTCTCCTCTGTACATATACAGCCTTTATGATTGTTGGTCTTCAAATGGCTCAATGATTTATTTCAATTATTAATATTTGAATTAAGTATGGGGTTAGCCGGGGTTAGCCTGTGGGAAGTTTATATCTTATCTTTACCTTTTGAAGTTTTACACATTACCTTATGTGCAGGATTTACACATGAATATCATTGTGGCTTATTAATAAGCATAAAAATCACGTATAGGCCAATTATGTATATTGATGCATATTGTAGGGAAAAATACTTTTCTATACAATTTTCATGTTAAAGTGAAGTTATGTTCTGTTTTAAATTTGACATTTTCCAAGTATTAGTGGATTTATTAGTATTCATACAATGCAATTTAAAGCAAGTTTCTATAGGTATATGTTGTATATGCAATTAACAGAACGTAATTTTCATATAAAGATATTTCATTAATGAAATAATTAACAAATGAATCTGCCTGTTCGTTATATTGCCATTATTTGTGGGACAATAGAAAATTGCGTTGTGAGCGTTCCTTTCCTTCCATTTATTTTAATTTGACATGGAAGTTCATGAATAGACGCGTCCTTAAACTCGATGTTTAAAAACGTTGTTGGCTCTTTAAGTCTTATTCTCTTCTCCAGGGTCTGACTCTCCATGCATCACTTGTCAATATCCTTGCATATGACGGCCTGAGCAGCTCGTCGGTGGGGCCAGGGGCGCTGTGCGGGCGGCGGCGGGGGGGCGGGGGGGAGAGCGGGAGATCAGAGGCTGACTGGTCCATTCAGCACCACGGACAGCAGCCGGCGCTCTGCTTGCGATGCTCAGCCGCCCCTCCGGTGCCGCTGTGGGCGTCGCTGTCACAGGGATGTGGGAACCGCCACAATAGTCACACGGGCAAGGAGCTGGCTTCGATACTTTAACTATAAGTGCCACTACCGCTGGAAAGAAAGAAATCGACTCGTCTTAATTTTTTCTGTCATGCATTTTAGGCTGCGATTTTGCATTTTTAGAAACCACGTTTAAATTGCATCGCTCCTGTTGGGCTGAGCATAAAACAGTTTGGAGATCTCGTCGTGCAAAGATACAACGCAACTCATTCGTCCTTTTGGATATTCGGTATATATCGTAGGAAAACTGGATATCTTACGAGAGGATGACACATTTTCCTCTCAACAAGATTATAATGTTAAAAACTGTTGAATTCAGACATGCATAAAACTGAACCCGGTACAGCGTGTGCAGAGTGTGTTCAGCAGCATGTGTGCGCTCAGGAGGACCTCCATACGTGAGTAAAAACCGCTATATCGGTGTATTAACGTGTTCATTTTAGGGGGAAAGGGGAAATTCATGGTGGAAATGCACTCGACGTAAAATGCATTATTTAATTTTTATTTGATTGTTATTACTTTTGCAAACCTGATTTCTTATAAGGTTAAAACGGTCTTTGCCATTGCGCCAATTTGTAAGAAATGCCTGTTTTATTCCATTCCTTCATTTGCTGTCTGTTATTCCGGGTTTAGGAATGGAGACTACTCGATATTTTGGACAGAGTGTTCCCAGCAGCTTACGTGTGACGAGCGGGCATTAACCTTCTCGCCGGATCGGAGAAGTTAAGAAGCGACGGCAAAAGCCGCCCCGGTAACATCATCAACTCCGACTCGAAGATAATGTCAATTCACGTTGAAGTCGCCCTGAGTTTTCACCCAAAGGGAGGCGATCCATGCCCGCTTGAAGACTTGTGATGAACTCGGTTCCTCCCTGGAGTGAAGCATGATGAGGATGTGTGACAGAGGACTTCAGATGCTCATTACCACCGTGGGAGCTTTCGCCGCTTTCAGCTTGATGACAATAGCGGTGGGGACCGATTACTGGCTCTATTCGAGAGGCGTATGCAGGACTAAGACCGCCAGTGACAACGAGACCAGTAGGAAAAATGAAGAAGTGATGACCCACTCAGGACTCTGGCGGACCTGCTGTCTAGAAGGTATATTGTCTTTGGTATTTTATTAATTTGGTGATGGGGGATACAGGTTTGCATCTTTCATCCACGTCTATATGTATTCCATAGAATAATTTCAAATTATTCTCTTGAAACCATTTCACTCAGTCCTATTGCAAAGTGTCGAACTCTTCTCGTTTACTAGGCTATCATACTGCGTGTGTTCGAGTCGCACGCAATTATTGCCTTGGAACGAAACTCAGTAGACATCTGAATACTTGATCGCTGTGATAACCTGTGGGATTCAGCTGCTGCTAACTTTAATCCGTAAATTTTGTAATGAGGAGAGGAATCGTATCTTACCTGAGAACGAGCCAAAGAAGGGAGGCGATAAGCGCTGTAGAGGACAGGGATTCGATTGAAAAAGCGGTGATCATTCTTATGTTTTTTTTTGTGGTTAATTATCTGTTTCTGGTAATAGGAAAAGAAACATTTCATAGCATTCTGGGAAATAAAATATGACATCGACCACAAATAGAATCTTATTTGTTACCATATTGCATGGTTGCATTTCGTAGTGTTTTGGGCACTTATTTATCGAAATCCAATTAAGATTATACAACTTTAGTACTTTTACGCACAGCAAGTATTGTTATGAGAAAGTGAGCCAGTAATGAAGATAAAAATAAACACGAAAAAAAAAACAATTTTGTTGAGGATATATTTCTTGGGAAAGATATTTTTCTTATTGTTTGAATTTACAGTGTTAGCCTATATTCTGCCTGAATCGTTCTGATTTTTAAACTGAATGTTTTTAAATAATCTGCTAAGTTTTAGACACACAGACACAGAGAGAGAGAGAGAGAGAGAGAGAGAGAGAGAGAGAGAGAGAGAGAGAAGAGTAATCATTGACATGCTTCTCAGGCGTGTTTTCTTAAACGTGCTGTAGTGTAAGTTGGCTGTTTGCACAGGTTTGGATACAAGTCATGTTGTTCAATTATATTAGCAGTCGAGTTGTCTGCTGTTGAAAATGCACCTCGCATTGTTGCAAAAAAGTTGTCTTTAACCTTGATGTGTGACCTTGAACCTTAGCCACTCCGATCTTCCATTTTGGTACCGTTAATGAATCTCCTTGCCTAAGGATGCTTTTGATGTATTAATTCCCATGAAGATGCCACTGACATTTTATTCTATTGAATGTTATATTCTTGGATTCCTGCATCAATATTTTTTCTATATAATCTTTTCAACGTGGGTGTTATTTCGATTCGATCATTTGAAGTTCGGAAATATTGTGAAAGGGGTGATTTTTAACACTATGTGAAGCCCGTAGTTATAAAAACACAACAAAGGCGAGTTTCGCACACAGTCCATGTAGCCTATTTTGTCGTCTCTCACCTGCTCGAGTCTCAAAGCACATCAGATAACATGCGGAGCCAGGCTGACTTCATCCTAATGTCACCGTCTGGCTCGTCATGGCTTACTGTCATGTCCTCTACAGAGGCACAAAAGCGCAACTCGAGCAGTTACCCTGGGAGGTTCCCTCGTCGAGTGTGGTCCTTTGTGACGAATAACATCACCGTTGTGTGGCAGCCCCTTCGCACAGAGCCGAACGCCAGCCCGGCGTTACGCGCCGCCTATAGCCGCAGCCGGAATCCGCATGTGCGCCGCCCCAGTGATCCCGAGAGGACGCACCGCCACGTGTAAGTACGCTAAGTGGCGTGGAACGTGTGCGGCGAGGTAGCCGTGCGCCTCTTCGTGGAAACGAGGCTGATGGGGCTTAGCGATGTAGGACATCCACGCTCCTCGTTATCACATCTAGAACGGTTTTTTTACGTGATAGTGCCTGGTTATGAGTTTGCAAACCACACGTTTAATCTCATTGGTTCTGCTTTCCAAGCCATTAGACATGAAGCATGCTGGAAATACAGGAGCGACGGAGGGGCATGGATACCCTGACAGATTCAGGGGGCCCAGCACTTGACAGGGGCCCATGAATACTTGAAATCTGGGGGGGGCAAGGTGACATTTTATGAAGGGGCCCAGAATTTCCAGGTACCCCTAAGTATAAGATATGCAGCACCATAAAAAGATGGACAGTAAATACATATTAATCACCCTTAATTCACCAGGCTAAATATGTCAAGGATTGTGTGTGTGTGTGTGTGTGTGTGTATATATATATATATAATATTTCTAAATTAAAAACCCACACATTATATTTTGATACATATATGGATTATGTTATAGTAATTGTCATGTGCAATTTGCATAAATGTTTCATTGGCATTTTGGAAAAAAAATTGGCCCTAACAGCATATCTTCAGAGGTTTACCAGTATAAACGTAATGAATGAGAGCTTTCATATCATTTATATTGACGAATAACTAAAATGCTTTTTAAAAAGTGTTCTGAAATTTAACCGCATATCCAGCAATTGTTGGTATGAGCAAATCTTTCAGAATAAAAGGCTCATTTTGTATAAAGGCAGCAAAGGGAAATTCTGGGCCCTCATAATTAATGTGTCATTCAATTTGCCAAGATAACAGGGACTAGAATAAATGGAAGTTAAACTGATGCATGCCTTAGGATTTCTTTTACACATATTAAGCGTGTATAGAATCAAAGGGTAGTGATACAAAATTAAGGGATCTTGCTCTTTTAAAATGAAAATTGTATTAGTCAAACTTAATATTATAAGCTACCAAAATCTCTTACACTGTGAATCATTTATATACAGACAAATTAAATAATTGTGGAAATATCCACAGGTCTCTATCTCTGCTAAACATCTATGCTTAGAGCACATACAGTGAATATTACTGCTAGACAGCAAAACCTTCTTTGAAATGTTAACGTATCCTATAGCTTTCAAGATATTCTCTGGTAACAATGTCTCCCATATATAAGGGGGATATACTTACTGTATGGGAGGGTAGTGAAAGATACAGATGAGGTGCTCGTGATCAGCGTGTTTTTGGTTTATACTGTACCTCTTGTGTCTCCATGCAGTGATATGGGATGATATGGGCGTGGCCAAGCTTCAGTTTGATGCATCCCAACTGGTGTGTAACCACTTAATCATGAAATACACAGCAAAGTAAGAATTAAACTGAGGAGGGGGGGCGGGTTTGTGACATGCAAAGAGTAGCAGTGCTCGTCGCTCTGTGTGCACCCAAGCATAACCTGTCTTCTATACTCTCATCAGTTCACTTCTAGGTGACTGGTTGCCCTGGTTTGGCTAAAAGGCTGTTTCTGTGACTACATGCCTTGGTTCCCTTTCGCTTCCCAATCCACAGAGGAGGTTAAAAGACAACCTGCATGTCCAGAACCGCCTTGTGGATTTTCAGAGGCCAATCCTAAATGCGTTTGTGACTGCTGTGGTCGCAAATCTTCAGATGTGACCGTCTACGGTACTCAAGCACAGCCTTTAAGATATCATAGTCATTTACTTTGGTTTATAGACTAGTCTGCTTTCCAAATTATCATTTATGGAGGTGTTTACAATGAAGAAAAGCTTTGCGCCATGAAATTCAGGGGCAGATTTACGATTGAGTTATAGATTTTTTTTTCCCCCTCTCCCAATTAAGGATGTCCTCTGAATTGTTACCAGTGGTTTTGTTTTTTCTGGCCATGGACTTTCAGTTGCTTAAAGAGTCAGTAATGATGCGGCAGCTACCTATAGAGCAGTGGTTTGGTGCCGCTCGACTGCAGAATGCCAAAGGGAAATGGCTGAGTGCCCCCCCCCCCCCACGGGACTCATCGCCACAAACGTGTTTTGATGGAACAGCTCTCTTCACAAATCATTCAGGATTCTGAGCGTCAAGTATTCATTTTTCCCCGGGGGGTCAACAAGCCACAACATGGCTACACTAATTAGGGAAATGTACGACTCTTACGTACAGTTATCTGAACAATAAACCAATATCATTGTCAGTTAACAAATCAGTTACTATAGCGGCATCAGTGAGATGACTGTAAAAGATAATCTCTAGCTTTGAAATGTTACCATTAAATATTTTTGTTGAAAATAATTTTTTGGCTTACTTAATTATTTAGTTATGAATATTACAGTAATAACTGACACCATAAAGATAAATCTATTAGTATCGATTTTGTTTTTTTTTTTTGCACTTTTCCCCCTTTTTAAGGGGGAAATTCTTTTAAGTTACACTTTGACTGCTTTCAGTTATCAATCAGGTTCCAACAGGTCAGTTTTAGTTACAATGAATAGCTTTTTTGGCATGCTAACTTTAGTGTAAGAAAGGCCGATTTTTTCCATCTGATACTGCATAAAAGTTCAGCGTTGTGTGGATCAGTGGATGTGTGGCATGTCCATGCTGGTCTGACAGCCTGACAGAAAGACTGTGATGAAGATGATGTGTTGGACACCTGTGATGGCAGTGAGGATGGGGGACAGTATGAAAGAAGGAGGTTCTCTGTAGATCTGGCTCCATGGAGGAACTCACTGCCAGTTAATAGGAGGAGGAGTATTTTGACAACATAATTTGAAATCTAGCAGGAGACTTTCAAGCAACAGTGACTCACCTTCCACAGACAGTCTCCCCTTCCTCCGTTGGTTGTAGACGGGATGTCATCCTGTCCTTTGTAAGCTCAGAGCAGATAGAAAATTATCTATCTAATATCTATATCTAATTATCTATAAAGGAAGCCTGAAAACTGTACCAGCATGTACGATACAGAACCTCAGACTTTTAAACAAACGATCGTGTATTCAGTATCCAAAGTTGAAAAAGGTACAATTCACCTGCAAAGAAGATTATAATTAATATCAGGCATACATCGACTGCTAATTTTAATTCATGTAGCGTAGCACTGGTTCCTCTCTGCTTGGCACTCGTTAGCTAAATGACTGAGAGTGTTCCGATAATTCCACACGTTGATGTCGTGTAATCCATCACCATCAGGCTTGCGTGGCCACCACCGTTTCACCCAAAGTAAGATTAAAGACAGGCGTCACCTGTGACACGAATAAGACCATAAATGAGTGAAGGAAATTACAGAATGACCAAATGAAGAATGAA